TGTTCAAGAGTTGTAAAGGGGAAACCTTAACTTGAGTGACTAAGTTGAAGGTAATCTTAAGGGAGACTTCCTAAGGGATAATAAGTTTTAGGATTACAAAAAAGATATATGTACAAGAGAAAATAAACAAAGTGTAATTTAAAAGGAATTCTTGAATTAAAATGAATACAAAGTAATAAATATTTGATCTTTTTCTATGATTAAAAGTGTAAAATAAACAATAAAAAGTAAATGATTTTAAACAAAGTAATAATGAAATTTAAATGATAAAAATTCAAAATAAAAAAGAAAGTTTAGTAAATAAAAGGAATAAAGAAAGTTTAAGAAAAATGAATAAACAAATAAAAGATGATATATATAAAAAAGATAAATAAATAATACAAATAAAAGTTAAAATAAATAATACAAAGATAAATAAATAATACAAATAAAATAAAATAAGAGGTTCATTTAAAATAATAAAAGAAGAAAAAGAAATAAAATAAAATGGAAAATAAAATAAAAAGAAAATAAAAAGGAAAAGAAGAAAATGAATCTCACTCCTTAAATAACAAATATCCTTACCACATGTCACGACATCATGCTGATCATGATGTCTGACCAACCTGTCAAGGCATCTGTCTCGACATCTTGTTTTGAACTTGTTTTAAAAAAGAGAGTAAAAGAGCACTTATAGATCTGAGGGCAAAGTGCCTCATACTTGGTTATACTTGTTTTAATGATGTCAAAACACATATAGTTTGAAAAATATACTTTGGACGGTATCATCAAGTCGCATATGCATACGTGATCTTTCTTGTGTCAAACATTTGTCAAAATATGTCTAGGTACATATAGAAAGAGCATTATGTGTGTTCTATATGAGTTTGATCATGTTGGTTAAGTTAGAGATGCATTAGGATCTCTTAGAAGTAGCTAAATATATGAAAATATGCATTTTTGCAAGTTTTATGTCTTTGAGTCGACTCATATCATGCTTAGTTCGACTCATACAAAAGTCAATTTTCATGTCTTGCTCTCAGAAGAGCTCGCGTCGACCCTCCGGTCGACTCATACTGTGTGCATTTGTGCTTATAAAAATTGGGGTGCTTTGCGTCGACGCATGGACCTGTTCTGGTCGATGCAAATAGTTGTTTCCTGCATAACTCTGAATTTGGGAGAGCTCAGGTCGACCCTCCCCTTGTTTTAGGTCGATCCCTCGCGCGCTTCTTGCAGAATTTCCGTTATGCTTAACATTCAAAGTGACTGTTATGTTGGTTATTTGGTTTCAACTTTGCATATATATTGAGTTAGTTCATTCTACACAAAAATAACAAGAAAAGTGAAAATATACACTGATTTGATTCTCATCATCTTCATCCTCTTTCTTGAATTTTCTTAACAACTACATATAATCATTTTTGTTGTGTATTCTGCATCATCGAGGTGATAATGTCCAAGCTTAGGATTGGTGTATCGGGTTTGGGTTGAGAAATCAGTGGGTTTTTCTTGAATAAAACCTTGAGGGTTTTGTCCTCCAACAATCTTAGATTTTGGGGGGTTTTGCACAAATCATTCCTTCACAGATTCAACCGAGCGAAGGTAATTGAAGAACGCGAGGTTCTGTCAATTTAGCAGTGTTAACCGGAGGATTGCGGTAGGAAGGTTTGGGTTATAATCATTGGTGTTTTAAATCAGTCGTGCAAGATTTTAAGACCATAGGGTTGTTCAAAGGTGGTGCCGTAATTGGAGGTTTACTCATCACATTCGAAGGACTTGATTCATCTTGAATCAAGGGAAGAGAAGGCATAGGCTCAACATCAACATTTGGGTTTGATTGTTTGAATTCTATTGCTTCTCTTGTAAAAACAATTTGCAACAGGTTATATATACATGGCTTAATTCTATTTTTAGAATTGAGGGCAGACGTACCCCGATCGAGGACGACAGGGGAACTTCCTTAACAAATTGGTGTTCTCTCTATTTACTATTTTCATTGCTGAATTTTGAGTTTGTGTGCAAACATATTAGTTGATTAAAATTCTGGTGTGTGTGTCAATGTTGAAACATTTTTAGAAACCTAATTACAATCTTTTGATTGTAATTGAAAAGCATAACACATCATTCACCTATTGAAATTTACTTGAGGTGCTTCGCATACCAAGTGTTCGACTAATTGCGGGAACACAAACACTTGTGCTGCTTTTCAATTGGTTTATATTTCACACGCATTGGAAACTGTCCAACTTTAAGTGAACAAAATCTGATTGATTTGTGTTCAAACTATTGATTCTAATTCCCGTCTTTATCGGTATTCCATATAGGCTTTGCGTATATCCGATCTTTTTGGTAACGGTTCGTTTAGAAGAGTATAGTTCCTCGGCCGCTTTCGCTTAAAACTTTTTAAAATCTAAATCTTCATAAGCGCCGAATCTGTTTTTAATAAATGATCTATTCAACTCCCTTCTAGATCATTATCATCGTCTAACAATAGATGTAATGTAGTGATCGCTACAGCTCCACTGACCTCCTAGAAATGTATTGGAGTGCTTAGCTTGGTTTGAAACTCTCTAGAATTCTCTGTTCAAATCAAGTTGCAAAGTGAAGAAGTGAGGTTGTGATTATGGTGTTTTGGCTATTACAAAAGTGTTATAATGATTTGGATAAATTCTATTAAGTGTATAGAAGGTGTTTGAATGGATGAATGGAGTGGAAAGTGATTGTAATGAAGAATTTGAAAGTTCTTGCAAATTGTACAACAATGGTGATATGATAATGCAACTTCTGGTTATATATGGTTTGATGATGTTTAAAGTGTTTTAGAAGCTTAGGCAAGTGGCATGAGATGTGTTTGAAGTGTTGGAATGAAAGTTTAGTGACTGGTTTGTGAAATTCAAGTTTTCCACTTTGATGGATGTTGAATTTTTGCAAGAATATGTGACTTTGATATGGAGAGTGTTTTGTGAGGTTTTAGTCTATTGTTGTGTTTTGGTGTGATTTGAATGATACAAGATGGTCTCTATTTATAGATAATTGTTTCAAATATTTGGAGAAAAGTTTGGCTTAGGATACAAGCTATTATCCCATGATGCCATACTATGTGTCATGCCTTGGATGCCAAGGTACACTTAGCCTATTCTTTACATGGCTATAATTCTGATATTTTGAGATTGAATCAACCATATTGCATCTCATCCCTTAGTGTTTTGATCACTCTTGGACAAATTAGGAGGTTTTTGATCTATTTCACTATTTCACTTTAATGCTAGAGGATAAAACCTCACTTCATGATTTTGAAATGATTTTTATCACATGCCAATGGTAAAATATTGAAAATTTTGTTATACTATAGTAGAGAACATGATGTATGATCACTTTGGTGTTGATCTTGTGCATAAATAAGGCTTGCAAAGTGATCAAAAGTGATTTTGAACTTGTGTGATCAAAGTTGTCTTGAATTCAACTTTATCATTGCTTCTTGCAAAAATCATAACTTCCAGATCATGTAAGATAAATCTTTATTCTTGGACTCTATAGAAAGCTGGAAACATCCTCTATAACTTTCGTGTTGACAACGTTTCTAGATTCAATTGGGATCATGGAGAAAATTGGCCACCAAAATTGGAACTTTTAACTTCTTAACACTAGAAAAATTCTGGATGTCTTGACATCTTTGACAATTAAGAAATCCAAACTTTGGCACATCATAACTTCCAATTCTTATAAGCTTTTGATCCAATATTTGCACCAAATTAAAGTATGAAATGCCATATTTAAATTCATCCCTTAGACCTAAAGAGTGGTCGCTTGTATTGATCACAATGTGTCCATAAAGTCATGCATTTGGCAAGGTGAAAAACTTTAAAAAAATTCAAAGTGTTTTGGATTTTCAAACAACTTGAAGGTCCAACTTTGAACATCAATAACTTCCACTTCAAGAAGACTTTTGCCTTGTAATTTTCACCAACTTGCAGTATCAAATGCCATCTTTCAAATAAGTCTTCAAGTGTTTTCAATGGATGCTTGAAGAAGAGGTTACAACTTTGGAAAGTAGGGTAAAAGTCATAGGATTTCCATAACTTAGAAAAATTTCAAGTTTTCTTCAATTTGGACAATTTTTCAACTTTAAATGATTTCTTGATTATAACTTGATCAAATGCAATCATTCATCATATTTTCTTGAATAATACTTGTGAAGCTAAAAGTTGAGCAAAAGTCAAACTTTGACTTTGTGCACTAGTTGACTTTGTATCAGATGAATCCAAATTTGTAATCTTCAAAATATCAAACTTCTTGGGCAATTTAAATCACGTGAATGAACTTCAAAGATGTATTTGAGACCCTTGAATCATGTCCTGAAGTATGTGATCATGCTTAGATGAAAAAGTCAATTGCAAGACACTTTTGGTCAAAATTCTAATTGGTGTATCAGATGAACTTGAGGTTGGATGAGTTTGAAATGATGCAATCTTGCACTTGGTTATTGATAAAGGGAAACTCTTGATTTTCACGAATGAATGAGAGACTTGAGAAGTTGAAGATTACACTAATCCCTGGCTAATCATCAGTTTAAGCATCTTGAGCCACAACCTAACTTGTAAAGCAAGCAAACACATATATTTGTATTTTCAATTGGTTAGTGATGCATAAAAACACACACACACACATGTAATATTAAATGTTATGCAAATGATACAAATGATGTGAAATTTTACGGGTAAAAATTAGAGTGTGACATTTTAAAAAATACTTTTTAATTTTAATTTTAATATTTTATTGTGATTTGAATAATATAATTATTTTTTATTTTCTTTAACAATAGAATTCTTTTGTTATTTTCATAATAATATTTTCAAAAAATTATACTAATGTACTTTACTTTTTCTATGGACAATAAGATGCTTTAAGAAAGGATTAAAATTCATTCAAGAGACATCCATTACATTACATGTGGCTAGAAAAAACATAATGGAGCAAAATCATAATGTAGTGAGTGGATAGAAGAAGACTCAATAAAAATCATGACCTTCATTCATGGTCATCTTCCTCTTGCTGTTTCTTCTCAAACTCACACTAACACCATTCCCAAATTACCAAACCTCACACCCAAATTCATTCCAAATCTCTTCTCTCTAGCCATTGCCATAACATTAACCTCTCCTCTACCTTCTCATGCAATCCCTTCCCTCAATTCTTCTAAACCCCCTCCAATCTCTCTCACCACCCCCTTTTCTCAATCAAAGAGCTTGCAACTTGGACTAGAAAATGGGTATGTAATATGTATGTCAATATTTTACCCAATTTTGGTTTCTTATAATAGAAATAATTTTATCATCAACAAAATTGTTTCTCTTGCAGAAAAATTCGGCCTTGTCCATCGACCAATCCGGGTTGTGTATCAACAAATCCTAAGTCATCGTCTTTTGATTTTCCTTGGACGATTCCAGAAAATTCAGTGGATAATGCTATCCAGGTATCCAGGTTACTAAACCATTACTTAGAATTCAAAAAAGTACCTTTGAGTTTGAGTTTGAGTTATGATTGTTCATAATTTTTATAATGATTTTTCTTTTTTAGAGATTACGTGAAGCAATTCTAGAGACTCAGAAAAACGTCAAATTTCAGCCCGTGGAAGATACTCCAAATGGTAACTCAAACACATTGCAACTTGATGTGTTCAGTTTTAGATCAATTTACTATTTTGTTGCTGTTATTTGTTAGAAATTGTAAAATGATTGTGCAGGGCAATATCTGCAAGCTGAAGTTGATGGAAAATTCGATAGAGATGTACTTGAGTTTCTGGTGAAAGGTGATGTGGTTGCTTACAGGTGTATGGCAGCAAAAGTAACTTATGTATACCCTTTCACTACTGCATTTGGAGATTCAAAGGGTCAAGAAGCAAGACTCAAGCAAATTAATGACCAATTGGGCTGGTATTCTCCCAGTTTTGATTCCATGGAGTAGTTAAGGCCTTTGTTCTTTGGTTTGTGAATAGCTCAGTGAATTAATGCATGTATCATTATAGAGTATATTCTGCATTAATATGTACAATTTCATGCCCTTTGCTATTTTGCGGTTTAAGGCTTATTATTATAGAAATGCTAAAGTCTCAGATTCACCAATGGAGAAAATAGTTTTTTAGATTTGTTTGGTAGCAGTTTCTAAGGCTGTTTGTGTTGGCTTTTGCTGCATTTCACTTGCACATTATTTAGTATTTCTCATCACCCTTTCCTGATTTCACTTGAAGTTATTTAGTATTTATCATTTAGTGTTGGCTGTGCAGAGACTATAGGCTCTGCTGCAGACAGAATTTTTTTGGAAAAAGAAGAAAATAAGTTTCACAATATTTGTGACAAAGAATAAACATTTGCACAAGATGGCACAGTGAATGAAACTTAATAGCTGATCCTCTAAACCAAAAATTACATAATATCACTTTTTATGTGCTACTCACAATTAGGCTAAGATGGATCAAGAATATTCAAAAGATAAAGAGTAGTAGGGAATGATAACATACACTGGTTTAGTTTAGTTGTTCTGTTGAATTTGTTATGTCCTTGTCAATGTTAGCAACGTTTGATGTATGCTGTTCATGGTGGCGTAAGAGAAAGATAGATTGTTAACCAACTAAGTTTGTTTGATATAATAAGAGCAAAGAGGTAGATCGAATTACCTCATTCAGGTCTTTATAATCGTTCAACATTTGTAGTGTTATAATTGCAAATGACCTTATTTAGGGCGATGCCTTCATACAACCTAAGGTGAGGCGGCGAATGAGTGTCGCCTAAAGGGAGGTATCTCCTAGTTCCATGGAGTTTCCCATTGCCTCGTCATGGGAAACATGAGATAGGGTGTTTTTTGGATAGAGGGAAAGTCAAAGTTGTTAGACGACGACAATGATCTAGAAGGGGGTTAAATAAATCACTTATCTTTAAATAAAATCGCCGCTTATAATAAATTGATTTTTTAAACTTTAAAGCAAAAGTGGCCGAGGAATGACAATCGTCTAAACGAATTGTTACCAAAAGGATTGGATATATCAATAAAGATGAGAAATTGAATTAAAGTTTGAACATAAATCAATATGATTTTGTTCACTCAAAGTTGTTCAATTTCCAATGCTTGTGAAATATAAACACAAATTAAAAAACAGCTCAAGACGTTTGTATTCAAGCAATTTGTCGAACACTTGGTGTGCGAGACACTCTAAGTAAAGTTTACTAAGTAAATGTAGTGCTAAACTTTTCCGGTTACAATCAAACGGATTGTAATGAGTTTTCTAAATATGTTTCAGCACTACCATAAACCAGAATTTTAGTCAACCAACTTGTTTGCACATAAACTTAAAATTCAAAAATGAAGATAGCGAAAAGAGAGAATTACACCAACTTGTTGAGGTAGTTCTCCCGCCGTTCTCGCTCGGGGTACGTCTGCCCTCATATCTAAAAATAGAATTAAGACCTGTATATATAACCTGTTGCAAATTGTTTTTACAAGAGAAGCAGTAGAACTCACACATTCAATCCTAATCGTTGATCCTGAAACTATGCATTCTCTTCCTTTAATTCAAGATGAATCTAGTCCTTCGAATGTGATGAGTAAACCTCCGATTACGACACCACCTTTGAACAACCCAACAGTCATCAAATCTTTGCCCGGTGTTGCATCCTAATTTTTGACTTTAAGATTCCACCTTTTTGTTTGCATTCTTTTATATATATATATATATATATATATATATATATATATATATATATATATATATATATATATATATATATATATATATATATATATATATATATATATATATATATATATATATATACACTTTTGTATATGTTCATCACGACTAACCGTTCAGTGCAGGCATAAATGCAATAAATGGATAGTACCCATACCCACAGTTAAGCATTTCAGGGCATAACCAGAGGATGCCCTGAGTTTCACCTAAAGGAGGATCTCACTTCCAGACTTTTTTCTTTTTCTTTGGGCCATTCTTGGAGCATTTTTTTTTTGAGATGGATCTTTGCCTACGTCTCTTTAAGACTCGACAGAAGACCTTGAGTTCCAATGTGTCAACAGTACTTCAAAAGCAGGGCTACGACATTTGATTATTGAGGACATTCGAAAGCAAATTATATCACGAAGTGTGGAATCGTGATCAAGCTATGTGTGCTTAAAATTATGAATTTCTTCAAATTAAATACGAATTGAGGATGCATACAAATATGCCATCATAATCATTTGAGTAACAAACAAGGTCTTGGTCGTACGAAGTTGAAGGAGGATCAGGAATGTATTCGTTGGTAAAACCATGATTTCATTTTGAGCAAGACCGAGATTTCTTTTCTTAGCACATGTCAAGAGTGTAACACCCCAATTTTTGGTAATTATTTATTAATTAAATTAATTGATTAATTATGTGATTTTAGGCCTAATTGAATTAACTAATTTATGTGATTTATTTGATATAATTGAATTAGTTGATTTATTGAATTTATATAAATTATTTGATTTATTTGAGTTGTTTGGATTAATTGAATTATTGGACATATTCGAAATAATTGATTTAATTTTATTATTTAACTTATATGATATATTCTAATTTGTAGAATAATATAGAATTGTTAGATTAATTGATTGGGCCTATTTGGGGGTGTGAATAGACATGAGTTATTAAACCCATTGGAATTACTAGGTTAATTAAAATTGTGAGAATTATATAAAATAAGAGAATGGGATAAAAGAGAATAGAAAGAAAGAAAAGATAGAAAGGAGAAAAGAGACAAAGAGAGGAGTGGAGAAGAAGAGGAGGAAACTCAAGAGAAAGAGCAAAAGTTCAACAAATTCAAGGTAAGGGTGGATTTTTATATAATTATTGGAATTATTTGAGAGTGTATAATGAGTAGAAATATGTTTAGGATGAAATCCCTAAAATTTCCATGAATTTGAAATTGTTAGGTTTTAGTGATAATCTTTGAGATGTGTTAATTTAATTATGTTTAAAATTGATATATTGGTATACAATGGAGACTCATTTAATATTTAGGGTAACCCATTAGAATTATAATATATATCTATAATTTCTAAAACAGAGCGCAACAACAAATTGGAAGAAAATGTGATTTCTACTATCCTGAATTCTGTAGCTAGACCCAATTAGTAAGAATTAAATGTAGTGATACCCCATATATTACTTATTGTAGCGTATACCACGATGGAAATGAAATGAGCATACTACCTGATACATGTCCTGTAGGCTGTAGCGCAAGGTTGGAACTAGGATGGAAATATATTGAACAAATCCTGTAGTGTTTCACATTGGTAGGCAATATATGTTAATTTCTAGTAGCACCTATCATTTTTAAATGCTTACAGAAAAAAACAAGTGAGGACTTATACTATTTAAAAATCAAACAAAATAGAATATTTAATTTCATTTGATGAATAGTAGCATGTAATTGGTAGCTTTTGAAATGTTAATAATCTTAATATTAATTGTCATATCAAGTTCTACGTTTCTAGGAACTACATTAAATATTTAATTGGAATTCATAATTCACTATATATATAAATATAAAATAGATATTTAAATTTAATTAATCATAGTAATAATAATTTTTATTTAATTATTGTTATTTTATTGAAATTATTTTATGGATATTAATTTAGGTATGGGTGATGAATTAATTTTTCTATGTTTAATTGATGTTCATCTATGGATTGGTTGTTTGTTTTAATTGGTATGTACCTATTTTTGGTTGGATATGGTGTCCTTTTTGTGTACTGTGTGCGAGGTCAAAGTTGTTTAGAAATCAACTACTCAATAGTTATGCTACTAGCTTTGATTATGCTATTGTTAATAGATCATTGTATACTGGAATTAATTGAATTGCACTGATGCATATTCTCCTGCTCTCTGTTTGCTTGGTTTTCTGTAAAAACTAAAGGTTGCTTTGTTACTTGGGAAAAAGGTTAAATGTTGCGTCTTTTGTTGTATTTATAAGTAAGCTGTTTAGTGAAATGAGTAAGTGAAATGTGATTTTTTCTTCTATTTCAACAATAATTAAATATTGAAACTTTATTAATTATTGAATGTTTATTAAATATTAAAACTTTATTAAAATATTAATTTTTATTTAAATATTAATTATTTATTCAACTATTGATTATTTATTAAAAGGTTGAATTATTTATTAAAATAATGATTGTTTGTTAAATTATTGATTATTTACTTAATATTGAATAATTCTTGAATATTTATTCAAATTTTTGAATTTTAATTATTGATGATGAATTGATTATTTTATATTTAATTAGTGATGTGTGTTTTGTGAATTGAGGTTGGATTGTAGTGATGCTTGTGTATGTGCAAATATGTGGTAATTCAAGTGTGATGAATTATTGAAGATATGCATGAATATTAAGATTTGAGTATGATCTTAATTGCATATAATTGTTGAATTCGCACATGCATCATTTGTGTCAAGAGGCAATGCTTGTTAGTTCCGTGGGAGCTAGTGACTTGTCCCAAACCTAGAGCGGGGTTTGAAAGCTTAGGGAATGGGCTTTTTGTGTGTTATTGGTCTAGGGAACGGACCCGGTTTAAGTGTAAAAACCAAAAAATAATAACGAGTGTTGGTACCACATGGCATGAGTTGCATTGAGTCTTGCATTGAGTTTTGCATTGAGTCTCATTATGTATATTTATGTGCTATGAGATTACGTGTGATATGTGGAACTGATAAATTGGTGAATTATGGAGTTGTGTGTATATACTTATGAATAGTATGGTTACTTGAATAATATTGTGTTGATAAAACTTTTGAAGTGTGAGAATAATAGTGATTATGTTTGTATGCCTTAAATTATATATTATCTTATAATTTCAATAATTATGTGAATTCTCACCCTTCTGTTGGAATGATGTTTTATACGACATCGCTCAGGTACTGAGGAGT